GCCACGTGGAGGGGAATCCGCAGGGAACCGCAGCACCCAGCGCCAGGCTGGGGCGCACTCACGGTTCCACCACCCAGCGGCGCCACGCCCCCCGCGACGAGGCCCCGCCCACCCGCAGCTCCTCCTCCCCGCGCCTTCCCGCCGCCAGGCGGAAGCGAAGAGCGGTTTCCCGCGCCCGGGCCGGCGGGGCGGGGCGGGGCTGCGGGGCGGGAGGCCCGGGCGGCGAGGCCAGGCCAATCCCAGCGCGGCAAGGCCCGCGCGAGACCGTTCGCCCTGGAGCACGCACGCACGTAGGCACGCACGCACACACAGACCCACACACACACACACACAGACCCACATACACGCACACCCACACACACCCTGCACACCGCGTGGGACTTGGCTGAGAGTCTTCCGCCGGGCGACCAACCGGAGCTGGGTTTCTACGCTGAGGGCAGCCTGTTTCCAGACTTCACCTCGACCTGCTTTTCTTCTTGGGCCAAGAAGTGTGGCAGTGCAGAAAACATTAAAAAAATATATATATCAGACTATGCCGGGATTGCTTTAAAACAAACAAAAACCAAAACAGTACCCCCAGGATCCCCCGAAAAAAAACTCCTAAACACAAAAGAGACACAAACACAACTACAAATTTCTAACTGGGAAACGTGAAGTCTGCGGCCCAGGCTTCTGGACAGACTCAAGATCTGTTTTGTTTAGTGCAGTGCGATGGTATGTGGCTTTCAAACGACCGGTCTTGTTTGCGTTTCGTGTTCGTCCTTTGCACCCTCCCCCCCTAACCCCCGCGCACACTATTTCCTGTCTCTCTGTGTAAAGCTACTGTTTTATTCCCTTTCTAAGTGTCATATTTTGCTTTAAAGGTTGAACGATAGTGTTGAATTTTCAGAATTAATGCAAATAAGTATTTTCTAAGCGTTGGCAACTTTAACACACTTATGGCGGGAATCAGTGAATTACACTAACGCGAAACAGTGCGGAATCCGGATTTTTTCCTTCCTATTTTGGTCTACACTCTCCCTATCTCTCTACGATACTGGAAAACAAAAACAAAAACAAAAACAAATAATACTTAGTTGCCCATATAGCCCATTCCTTTTGTTTTAAGCACTCTTCACAAGATACCACTTTGTTCCAAGTGCGTTTTCAAATGCAGAAAACTTTATTTAGCTCCCATTGCTGTGTTAAGAGCTTTTAAAATTGGTGTCATTCTAAAGTTTAGTTCACTCATTCACACCCCGTTTCGGCAAGGAATTTAACAATTTCTTCTCTCTCCAGCACCCCCAACTCTTAAAAAAAAAAAAGGATTATGATGGATTTCTTCCTGCTCCGTTTAATGCGTCTTTTTCCCACCCCACTGTTTTCTGCCCTAGCCTAAGATCCCCCTCTGCCTAAATCCATGTGTGTTGTCTGTGGGCCTGCCTTCTCCCTTGTCCTCTCCGACAGTGAGTCTGGGACACATTTTAATGCACAGTATCCCATCCATTAAGTTGTGGTTGAATGCGGAATGTGTGAGGACTTGGCAGCTTTCAGGTTTAAGGGGGCGGGGAAGCCAGTTTCGACTTTGACACAAGATGCCGAGGTGGCGTGATCTGAATTATTATTAGGGCTGTGAACATGGCCATCTTCCCCTCCTGGTTGGAAGAACTGCCATTGAACTTGAGACAGGACAGACAAGATCTCCAGGTTTTCCTTACTCCCTCAAGTACAGTAGCTGGCAGGGAAAAGGCGCCAAAATACACAAGATTAACTGACTGACTTTCTTTGAACGGGTCTTATAGCACCCTCCTTTGTAACTATAACTTCCAAAAGGAGTGGGGGGGGGCGTTAACTTTTGAACCCATATTTGAACAGACATTTAAATCAGCCCTAAAGTGGAGTAAGTCCAGAAAGTCATACACGCATGCTTCTGCGGTTAAAAAGAATGCACGTGTAAATAAGCAGGGTGCATGTGTGCATGTGAGGAGGGGCTGGGGATTTAATCAAAATCAGAATGAGTGACTTCCTAGTGACTTCCCATTTACTGTACTGGGATGTGTGTTGTGAGGTCAAGAAGCTGACCTCTGAGCAGCTTAAGTAAAAACTGCAAAGGGCTGTGAAATGCAAAATGTTGTGGTTTCCAGTTTTACATTTGAGGTTTAATGTTTTTATTTAATGGTATGAGGGATGGAGAGAGCTCCAGCGCTGAAAAGTCCCTATTAAATCATATCTGGTCAAAGGTCAAACACTCCAACTCACTGATACAATATACTGCAGATTCCTGCCTAGTGATGGGGAGCCCAGGCAAAAGCACTTGGGCAATAAAAGTATTAGAATGGTAATTATCGTCCATGGTCAGGGCTGCATTCTTGTGCACTGGGCAAAGGTTTTTACTGGCCCTGATGAATTTTAAAGCCGAGTATTGTTGAAAGCTATTTTAACAGGAAATTGATTAGCTGAGTGTTTCATACAATAAATGGTGACAGATTCATTGTTTGATGTCCAGAATTAATTCCTTTTATTCTTTAGACGACATAGGCATCCATTTAGTTTTAATATGGTCAGACTGAGCAGCAGCATAATTTCGAGTGGATGTGATGTCATGCACATCTGTAACTTTGTTTTTTGGACTCCTGTGGCATCACATAATTTGACAGTATTCATTGCTTTGAAATTGACTAGCTTGTTGTGTTCTTTAAATGGTCAGAGATAATTTTTCTGAATATCTATTTTGTTTAGGCCCAGTTGTTTGTGTTCTCTTTTCGCTTCTTACATTTTCATTTGAAACTTAAATGGAAAAAAAAATCCCCCTATTGTGCATTATTTTGATTTTGAAATCGAGTAGCAGCTTTTTAAAAGAGCTCCAGAGAAAGGGCCCCCGACGTTTAAGACAGCCTGCGGCCACCTCTAGCATGACAGTGTAAAGACTACTTGGGTGTTTTAGACATACCTGAATGCCCATCCTCACAAGTCACAGCATATGTAGATGAGCTGCAAATCTACTCTTCCAGATAAAATGATGTAAAGATAAAGTATTTTGAAAAGGCCAAGGCTTCAGCATCAGCAGATAAGACACCACCGTGTCTGTAACCTCTGAAATGCTGTGCACCAAGTCAGGCAACTGTGACAGAAATTTTGAAAGTTCAGAATAAATCGGACAAAAGCTGCAGGCCAGCTGCTGTCTCTATAGCCCAGGAGCAAATGTTTTCAGGTTGGGAATCTCTTGCTGAACTAGATTCGTCTCTGTAGAGAAATGGTAACTAGTGAACCTTCGTGAAGGCCTTTGGACTGGTCCTCCCTCACATTCAGAGTTGTAGCCTGCAACTGTGCTCCTCAAGCAGACGTGCTTGGTGGGATTTCTTTTTAATAGTTACATACAGGCATTTCAGCAGCGGCATTATTAACAGCGTCATTTTTTCTCATTTAGTTCTGTCCTCAGGGGAGACCAAACAGCTCCCAGAGGAGGGAAGAAAAGTCCAAGGTTATTTACTCATTTCAGTTGAAAAGCAGAGGACTGGCAATAGGTGGGGAGACTAACCAGTTGTGAATTCTCCAGTGGGGAAAATTGCTCCCCTCATTTGAGAGTAGGAGTTGAAGGCTCAGAGAGCTGGGCATGATTCTGCAGTTCCTGTCACGCACAGACACTCTTAGCACTTGCTGCTGGCTGCTTATATATGCATTTTTTTTGGGGGGGGGGAGACGGGGGAGGGTTTTGGTGGTGTTGCTGGTGGATATAAATCTATGTTTTCCAGGCTACATTAGGAGGAAAGAAAGGTCCCTGGGTTTGACACAGTGGACACCTGCCGTTCTGCAAGCCTGCTTCCTGAGGTCAGAAGGTCACATGTCTCTTTTGTGTTTAGTTTTTAAACATTGATACTGGCCATGCAGCTTGGGTGTATGGGATTGTTGAACCTCCCCACAAATCACATGCAAGAGCCAAAAAGATAGAAGGTAGTGGTGTAGACTGCAAATGACAGCTTTGCTGAGGTCGGAGAAACCTGGCATGAAATAGCCCAGGCTTTGCAACCTGTCTCTGCCGCTTCTTTAAAAAGAAGATAGATTGAAGGAACAAAACAAAAATCAGTATCAGGAGATACTTGAGATGTCAAATTCCTCCCTGGAGGTCAGGGAGAGACTCAAACTGGGTGGCAACGCGTATTTTGTAATATACCATTGGGCTTTGAGAACCCAGCCACTAGAAGTCCTGACTTTTCTTCTAGACAAATAAACTTTTCTGTCGGAAAAGAACACCTTCCCCTAATGTGGCCGCAGAGAATAAATAGTCCAAGAAGGAGATCATTAGGAATATGACAACGGACCTCCCTGCAGCTGAGAGGGCAGGATTTGAGATTAGTGTAGGTGGCCTGTCACAGCCCCCAGTGAGAGAGGGGGAACAGAAGGTTGACAAAAGGCAAGGGCCACAGTCGGGGTGTTTGGCCCATTTGGACAAAATCAGAAACTTTTCAGAACAACTTGAACCCTACTTTGTATAAGACAGATACTTTACAATCCATTCTTTCTATCCTCCCTCTTGGATTTGAAAAGGGCGCTGTTTCTCAAAGCAAAGGGGTCTGACAAGTGCTCAGAGAGCCCAGAAAGCAGAGGCCCCAGGAGCCCAGATTTCCCAAGAGCATTCTCCTAGGATTCCTCCTGGGAAGGCCTGCAGTGACCTGAGCATTGGGCAGGCAGCAGAGCTTGGGGTCAGGAGGTGTCAGCCCTCCTGACTCCGAGGTCTGAAAATCAAAGCCTTCCACACCCAGCATCCCTAAGCCTTTCTTTCCCGGATATCTATTGTTCATTCTTCACTCTTGGTTTTCCTCACCTCACTGTTCATGCTGCTTCCATTTTCCTTTTCTTGGAAACAAATCCAAACCCCTAACTACAAAGCATCCCCTATGGCCATCAGCATGTACCCCGGGCCATCAGCCCTGTACAAACACAGACGTGGAACACCTGAAAGTGCTGAGCCTCTCAGGGATGGGCCTGGGAGGCCTGGAACCTTGGGCTCTGTGGGTTCTTACCTGTGTCTGACGCTGCTTCTCTGCCCTGGTGCTCGGCTTTTCTGAATTCTTCTGTATAATGGTGTCAATTTCTCATTTGTCTTTTTTTTTAAGCTTGTGAGAAACTTTTAGATGCAACCTAGTTTCAGTGGCAAAAGGAAATAGGTTCTGTTGGGACAGAAGACTAATAAAGAAATGTAGAGATGTCTTGGAGACACTTGCCCAGGACCCAGCACTGGGCCTCTTTTGCCAGGGGACAACGGCTGGTTCTGGGCTCTGGCTGAAAAGAGTGCTCTCTGGGTGCCAGGATTTCGCTGGGGGTGGTGTAGTGAGGAGGGAGGGAGGGAGGAAGGGAGGGAAGCAGAGAGATGGGCACTGGATTTTTAAAGAGACCCCGGAATAATGGCTTCTGTAAGAGTCCAGGCATTCAAAGAGGTGTGTTCAAGGACATGAGTGCATTCGTGCCAAGGGGAATGTCTTTTATGGTAAATTAACTCCAGTTAAATTGAATATTTGTTCAAAGGGAAACTCCAGTAGTTAAAGCTGGTATTATCAGTGGAGCATCCCCGCCCCCTCCCGCAGAATCTGGTGAGGGTGAGAAAAGGGATGCAGTTCAGTACAAACTGATGCTTTGGGATTGTTCGTTTGTTGTTGTTGTTGTTTTTTTTTCCTTTTCTTTTCTTTCCCCCTCTTCCTTTCTTTTAAAAGTTAAGATGAGGTTGCCTAAAATTTATGAGAGAGAAGTGAGTATTTATTTGGATTAACCCCGATTTCCACCTCCTTTCATCTATAAAGACTGTCAACTTTATCCCAGCTTTTCAAGAAGAAGAGATGACCGGTACAAAGGAAATTAACGTTGTCAGAACGCTAACTAGAGGATTTGCCTAGCGGAGGCAGGGAGGCCACTCCCCGCGGCGCGTGCCCTAAAGGGTTAACTCGCCCGTGTTCTCACAGTTTCCCCGACTTTACCTGTCCTCCTAGACCCACGGCCCTCCCCGCCTCCTGGCCTCCCCACCCCCTGCGCCTTTCTTCACCGGGCTCTTGGTTTACAGGGGCTGCAGCTGGTAGACTTGGCAAGCTCGCCTCATTAAGAGCGCTTTTTGAAAACGGACTGTGTTTGAGCATTTCCCTAATGAGGACAGGACGGGGTTAAAAAGTGACCATTTCATGGTTGACTTGAACCTGCCTACTTTTCTTGATGTGTCGTTGTGAAATGCTTGATGTGGGTAACTTCCACTTGGGGAAGGAAAAAGTCACTGGTTCTTTCAGGTCCTCTGGGGGAGGGCACGGTGGTCAGGAGCTCGAGGACCGGAGAAAGTTGAGGGGGAAAGTCCAGGGCACAGGGTGGGAGCGGGAGGCCACGGGGGGGCCTGGAAACGCTCGGCGGCCCCAAGCTAGGTCGACGCGGAGCCCCGGGCGCTCACTTTTCTTTCTCCATTGTCTGGGCAGCCTTTGATTCCTCCACTTCCCCACCCACCCCTAGCGGAAACCCGGAATTTGGGGGGCGGTGTGTGTGGGAGAGAGAGAGCCCGCGCGAATGGGGGGTGCGGGCTCGGCCGCCGCCTGGGTCCCAGGAATCAAGTTCATTCACTCGGCGGGGGGCGGGGCGCCGGCGGGAGCAGCCTCGGAGGGCCGCAGCCGCACACACGCACCCGGCGCGCTCCCGCCCCGCAGCCCCGGGCGCGCCTCGGCCCCGCCCTGCCCGCACCCCCGCGGGAAGGGAGCCGCTTTCCGCCGGCGCCCCGGGCCCTGGGGGTGGGGATTGGGACGCGGCCAGCGCGGCAGGAGGAGGAGGAGGAGGAGGAGGAGGAGAGGGGCCGGGCGCGCAGAGGAGGGGCGAGAGGTGGCGGCTGCGCGGCCTTCCCGCTCCGAGCGCGGCCACGTGCACCGAGCGCCGGGGGGAGGGCGGGCGGCCGCGGCGAGGCTCGGGGGGACCCGGAGGGACCCCGCCGCCCCTCCCCGCTCACCCGCGCGGGCTCCGAGCTGGGCTTCCCGCCGCGCCCCTGTCTCAGTGCCGGTGCGCCCCAACTCCAGGAGGCCAAGTTCACTCCGGGGGGGCCCCCGCCTCCGCCCTCTCCCTGCAGCCGCCTGGGGTGCTAGAGTCGGCGCCCTAGCCCCAGCTCAGGGCAGCCTGGGTGTGAGGGAATTTTCCATTCGTTTCTTTCTCGGGCCCAGACCGGCGCAGGGCTTCTCCCATTAGGATGTTCTCGTGGCTTGAGCGTCTGCAGCGAGCACTGAAATACCTCTCTCTGGGCGGGTTTTCGGGGGTGCATGAAGGGTGGCAGAGCTATTTTTGAGAAAAAAAAAAAAGTCCCAGTACTGTGGCACCGGTCCGATACCTTTAACAAATGAGGGGGAGAGACGCGAGGGCTGGGGGAGGCGCGCGGGAGGAGGAAGGTGGGGGGCGGGGGGTGTGGAGAGGCTGGTGCAAAAGGAACGCGCGTTTGCAGGAGGAGGAGTAAAGCGGTGATTGTGTAATTAAATAATAAAACAATCCTTAAGTCTGATTTGGAGAGAGCTCGAGCGGGGTCCAGAGGGTGGAACCGGTGAATCTTTCAACTTGCAAGTTTTTCAAGAAAAGAAAGCGAGAGAGGGAGGGGGAAAAGCGCCCAGAACAGAAAAGAGGAGTTTGCAGCTGAGCGGGATCGATCGTTTGGGAATTTTTCAGGAGGTCCTTCTGATTCTTTCCGTGGGCTGTGGGCAGCGGCACCGGCAGCGGCGTCCACGCTCGGCGGGTCAGACGTGGGGCGCGGCGGGCGGGCGGGCGGCTGTGCAGCGGGGCCCGAGCGCAGCAAAGTCTTTTCCGCCCGGGAGCTCCGCGCTCGCGCCCCCTCCCTCACCCCGGCCTCTCCCTGCTCCCCCCCCTCCCCACCCCCACCCGGCCCTCTCCGGCGCGCGCCCCGCCACCCGCGCGCACTCGCTTGCGCTCCCCCTCGCGCACACACATGGTCGGCTCGCGGCAAAGTTTCGCCTGCGATCGCCACTCCCGGATCCTGCTGCAGTGTTCGAGGCGGTAACCTTGAACTTTCCCAGCGCGGTGACACATTCTCCTCGCTTTCCCCACCGCCCGGCCTCCTGCGCCCCCCTCCCCGCCTTTTTTTAAAAAAAGCATTTCATCATCCACTACCACCCCAATCCAACCCATACCGAACCCTCGAGCAGAGCACCCCAAGCCCCCAACAACAACAACAACAACAACAACAACAACAACAACTGCAAAACAGAAAACAAATCCCCCAAACCGGGCGACCAGCAGCCTGCACCGGCGGCGGCCTCGGAGAGCTCGGCCGGCGCGCGCGGACCGCAAGAGGGTTAAAACTGTAGATTGGATTTCACCCCGGGAAATCTAGCACGCCGAGTGAACTTGAATCTTTGGCTATTTAAGGAGGACTGGGTTTGTTGCGAAGTTGCGGTGATCCGGCGCAGAGCCCCGTCCTGATTGATCGCATCGCTGGGCTCAGATGACTGTAAAATGAATAGATGAAATCCTTGCTTCTCGAAGATTTTCTTGGGCATCTCCGGGAAAGTGCGTTTTAAGGCGAAGTCATGATGTATTCTCCCATCTGTCTCACTCAGGTACTTGTCTTGGTCGCTTTCTCGAGCTTTCTCTCTGGCCCCAGACGCCTTTGTTGTGTCTTCTTGCTCTTGTGCTGCAGACCCTCAACTGCTTTGCCTAACCTCGGCACACCCTGGTCTCCCTCGTGAAGTGGCAAGGAGTTGCGGTGGGCTGTGCGGGCTGCGTGGGACCACGGTTGCCGCGCGCACCCAGCCCGGCGCCCAGGCTGGGAGAGCCCGGGAGAGCCGGCACTGGGCGGGCGAGGCTGCTGGGGTGGGCAGGGCCGAGACCAGCGGCCCGGAGCCCCTCTGCGGCCCCCGGGAGCTGGTGGCAGCGGCGGCGGCACCCCCACTCTTTGGCCGGTATGCGTGGAGCGACTCCGGCTTGGGCAAAGGGCTGAGAGCCAGGCTGAGCGCCTCTGGACTCTGCTGCCCACAGTGGGCTGGTGACGCCGCCAGTCCAAGGTGGTGGTCCCGGCGACCCATTTCTTTGCGTATTTGGGGACCTAAAGTCCGGGTCTGTAGTTACCCGCACTTGGGGGTTTCAGAGACCGCACTTCGGAGGCGATTTTTAAGCTGACAAGAGTTTAGTTGGTTGTAGTTAATGTCTAGGACTTTTAGGGCATGTTTGTTTTATGGTGAGACTTGTTCATTTGATGATACTTGGACATAACTCGAAAGGCATAAAGTAATATCAGAAAAGTGAGGTCATTTTTTTTTTAATTTCAAAAATTGCCTTAAAGTCTAAGGAACAATGTTAGGAGGTAAAACACTGGCTTTATACTTAAAAACCAAAACCAGTTTCTATCGCTTCCAATCAGATGTTCAAATGAAAAAGTGGTTAGATTGAGCGACTTACCTGGGCGCGCTTTCATCCTTTCATGGATAGCCAAGGAACTTACCAACTGATGAATTAAATAGCCTAATCCAGAACTGTTATTTGCAGCAGTTAATTAAACCCTTAAACTTATGGGACAGTTTACTGAAACTTTCAAGAGTATGAATCTGGATTGGTAATCGAAAATTTTCATTGACATTGTCATAGAAACGAAATAGAAATGTTTAGTTTTGGTTATGATAGTTTTTTTAAAATCTAATATTATGATGCATTTTTATAATTAACAAATAATTAAGATTTCAATTGTATGACAATTAGAAACCATTGTGATTCAGAAGGACTGCGGCATTCATAAATTGTGAATGAAGATGAAAACAATGATAAGGGGCATTCAGTGATTGGACACAGCCCTGTAGCTTTTTGGCTGACACATTTTTTATTGTTTATATTTTGTTTGGCATCTGAGTATGATTAACTTAGATATGGCTATTTTAAGCAAGTAAACGTGCACTTTAATTTAACAAAACTGGAAAAATGGAGTGTTGAGTTATTTGTATTTTAAAAGCTATGAATGATAATAACTCATGAATATGATGGAATTGTCTCAGGTATACCAAATTGCCTGTAGTTGTAGAAGTTACTTTTATTTATTCATGAGGAGGCTTTTTTCCCCTCTCTTTCTGATAAACCCTGACCATTTCTATTATTTCTACATCGTGATCAAAGGAAGCAGATTAAAGCAAGCTTTCCTTTCACAAAGTATGGCCTGGCTTGTACTCACCTGGGAAGGACTGGGTAATCATGTGTGTCTCTGTATTTGTATTGTTTTTTGGGAAACTGTTAGCAATTGCATTGCATTTTTAATCTCCGCTAAATAAGCACGGAAAAGTCACCAACTCCATCTTAATTCGTGTATGTTAAAACTACTGTTGCAGAATCCTGACACACGGAATGTTAGGGGCATAGACTGCGCACTCATCCAACTATCACATTGCTATTCAAGGCCACATACTTACCAACATTAATTCAGGATGATGACTATATATTCTTTGTTATTTTAGCAATGTAAATCTGGGTTGATGTGTTAGCACGGTTTTTTGGGAAGTTAAGGCCTGTTCCAGAGAAGGAGTTAGGGTTTTAGACTTCTCAACTACTAATCACTTTATGACTTTGTAGGTAATTTAAGGTATTGCAAAAGTGAGAGTGCACAAAAGTGTTACTTTTGTATCAGATGAATAGTTTAGTTTTATGTTACAGGAGCCGGATAGCTGCCCTACAACCTGTTTTGAGACATACAGATACAAAGTAAACTACATTGTTAATTTGTTAGAAACTTTAAGAAGTATCTCAGTTGTTACATTAACGCATTTAGGTTTTTCAAAAAAATCTTAATTTAAGTGACTCTACCATTAAACTTGATATTTAGCTACCTGATTTGGTGTAGTATCACCACAAGTCATCATTTGTCGGCCAGTATGAGTAAAAGGAAAATAAAGAAACATCTATATGCTTTAATATTTTGTTAATTTGCATATAAGCCTTTAATGTAAACTTTGGTTGGCATGATGATGTTTTTCTTTCATTGTCGTTCAAGTTCTTTCAATATTTTTTTCAGGGTTTATTGTTATGAGGTGATGGGGCTCTAAGAGCAGGCAGTATTTACTCTTCCATGGATATGTTGGACCAATTTCTAACCCTTTCATGAAATCATTGTTTCTGTGAAGAAAAATAAATAAATCTAGTCAAATTAGATTTTTATGTTTATATTTGAAAATTTAACTTGTCTATTTATTTTATCAATTTAGTTCAACTCCAGAAAGTTTTATAAGGAAAAGCATTTCACTACACGTCAGTGTATTTTAAGGAAAATTCTTGAGAGTGAGCTTGCCTATATATCTTAGTATAGAGACTTTAAATCACCTCCATGCTTTGATTTAAAAAATAATTTTGATAATTGCTTAGTGTAATTGTGGCAGTCTATTAGTTGGATATTTGAATGCCTTAATCCTATTTATTTTTTCCATGTGAGGACAGCTACATTCCACGTTCATGTCATTTAAAATTATTAAGAATATATTACAGTGCAGCTTTAGGAAGCAGTCACACATGGAAGATGACATTTAATCATGGAATGCAAAAGTATATGTGACATATTGCTTGTCTCCACTTATCATTTTGGGACTCTATGTCTTCTTATGTTCTACTTAAAGTTGAATATGCATAATATGGATTCTCCAAAAGATATTAAGGCAAATTGGTGGGCTGAGAAAGTTTGCCATTTCTGTTTCTCAATAAAGAAAAGTTATGTTTTAAAACAATATTTGCTGTCAGTGACAGCAAACTCAGGACAATGTTTTTTTTTTCTTTTTTCTTTTTCTTTATTGGTGAACTGGCCAAGAGTTTCCAAATTCAACTTTCAAATTAGCATCTTGGTGGTGTGATGCAATTATCTAAAATTTAAAAATTGTTATATGATAGATGATGTTTATTGTCAAGTATTAAATCTTAAAATTATTTAATCAAAAGTTATATTTGATATCCTTATAAGAAAATGAAATGTCACTGAACATAGTATTTAAGTATCGAAGTACTTCAGTGTTCCTGGGTTGCTTACTAGCCATTAAATAGTGGTGCATTTTTAAAAGTGTGGTAAGGGTCAAAGGAATGGGACAGAGAACACTCACCCTTCCTCTGCATCCTCAGGGTTTTCTTTTACAGAAGCGTAGATGCATTTAAAAAATCATATCAGTAAATCACAGTAAAAGTCATATCCTAGGAAGTGAGTTCATAAAGCACATTGAAGTTCGCATTTCCTTGAGCAGGCAGACTTTCCTTTTGCATGTATTTTGAGGGGAGGGGATAAACAAAGTTTTTACAGTTACAGGGGGAGCTGAAAGCATGGCATCAGACAGTGTATGGAGATAGGGAGGTCTTATCATGGGCTGTGGTTGCTGTGAGCAGGGCTGCCTTCCCACACAAAGAACAGATTGTGGTTTAACTCTTTCCATGGGCTCCTTTAATGTGCTCACATAGTAACTGAATTGTTCAAATCTCTGCTGGAAAGTACTGATCGGTTTAATTTCCTCCATGGCATTTGGCTCTGCTTCATGCTGCGATGTAATCAGCTGCATTCTGCATTATAAAATTCAGATTCATTCTTCGTCGGCGATATGTCAGAACACTTGATAACCATGCTATTGATCAGGGGAGTCATATACCTGTTCTGGGTCTGAGCTGCAGACAGTGAGCATGTCGCAGTCTTCTGCACTCCACCTTTGAATTTCATCTTAAAAAGGCTTCCTCGGAGATATGGAATTTGGGAGCAGCTTCTTTGTTGTAGTGTCATTAGTTTACTTTGGTCACCTTTATCTTATGAAATTAGTCACTCTGCTGGACTGTTTACTACTCCATGTACTTCAGAGTAACTAACATGAATGAGTACATTCTGGCTTGGGATGTAACCTATTAGAGAAACTTCTTTTGTGGTTAGGATGACAGAACAGTCAGAGTGACCAGAAAAATGGTCGTGGTGGAGTTCTTCTTTGCGTCAGTGCATGGCTTATTGCATTCATAGAGCGTGCATGCGTGGGGTGCTGTTCTTTTTCTCTGAACAGTGGTAGGCCTGAGCTTATATGGCCAGCTTTACCTAAGTCAGGAAGTAGTGAAACACTGACTCCACTTGGAAGTCACCGGAAAGATTTGTAGGTAGGGATGATCTGCAATGCCTGATGGCCCCCTCCCTTTAAAATAGGCAGGAAAAAAAATGCAGGCCTTCAAGGTAAACCACTTAATTCCCAGGGCAGTTGGGAACTGTATGACTGAAGCACTGGTGGGCTCCCAGGCACATGCATGTGTGTGCCCTAGTCCCGTCCCATGCTCCATCTGTGTGGCATATGAATTGTAGAGATTCCACAAAAGCAGTAAACGACCAGCGTGCACTCCTGGTGTCACCGTGCCACAGCATGCCGAGAAACAAAGAGTGGAAAGTTGGTGCCAAGTTGCCATTTTTTCATTGTTCAACCTCCGATTGATTTTTAAGGGGTTTGAATAATTGCCATACTCATGTGATCGGTGAACAAATTAACTGACTCTGTGGGGCTTCAGAGATGGTAGGAAAGTGGTGGCAAGAACATCATGTCATTTTGTTTTCAACTTTAAAAACTATTTAAAAATGAAAGTGTGTGTGTGTGTGTGTGTGTGTGTGTGTGTGTGTGTGTGTGTGTGAAAGAGAGAGAGAGAGAAAGACAGGGGGAATGTGTGTGTGTGTGTGTTTGTTCGCGCGCGCGCTCTTGTGCGTGTGCTGGAAGCTAATGTTGGTGGTGCAGGGAGAGAATGTGCTGTTCAAAGTATGGAAACCTTGTGTTCAGGACACTGATAGACAAGCTCTGTCCTTTGCCCACTTTCCCTTACTGTAGACCGGTTTCTCTAGTTACCACTCTTGGAATGGTGCTGTTTCAGTGTAGGAATGTTGGACGTCTGATAAGAAAATGGATCAAGTTTAATGGCGCATGCTCTTTGTGCCACCAGCAGCCTCTTGCTGAGAGCATGCTCCAAAAGCGGGAACTGTGTGGCATTACAGTGAGCATCTACATGCTTTGTGTTTCTATGGCACAGAGAAGAGAAATGAACAGTGGCATCGCTCCTGCCTTTTGAGAAGCTCTGCTCGGCTTAAAACAAAAAACCAAAAACCAAAAAACAAAATTCACTGTGTTCCTTGTAAAATGGTACTGCATAGTGCTAGCTGGTCAATCAAATCTTTAAATATTAAATCTGGTGCCAAGCACCTTATTTTAAAGGATGTAGATGCATGAACTTGAGGTGGGAATGAGGGGGATGGGACCAAAGCGAAAACACAAAATAAAACCACGTTTTCTCTGTAGGAGGGAGAACCAGTTTGTGAATTTTGGTTGAGAGGGGGCATACTTTATTTTCTTCTTCTCCTGATGTCTCATTCATTTTAACTTAGAAAATAATGTTGTTTTTTAAAGTAAGTTTTTGTGCTGAATTGGGAGTGGATTGTGTCTTTCGTTTTTTTGTTTTGTGTTGTTTTTGTTTTTTCTTTAGCATTGGAAATTGAACTGACTGCACACCTCTTCTTTCCCACCTCCTGCAGGATGAATTCCACCCATTTATTGAGGCGCTTCTCCCACACGTCCGTGCAATCGCCTACACTTGGTTCAACCTGCAGGCTCGAAAACGCAAGTACTTTAAAAAGCATGAGAAACGAATGTCAAAGGATGAAGAAAGAGCAGTCAAAGATGAGCTGCTCAGTGAAAAGCCGGAAATCAAGCAGAAGTGGGCATCCAGGCTCCTGGCCAAACTGCGCAAAGATATCCGCCAGGAGTACCGGGAGGACTTTGTGCTTACCGTGACTGGCAAGAAGCACCCGTGCTGTGTCTTATCCAATCCAGACCAGAAGGGTAAGATTAGGAGGATCGACTGCCTGCGACAGGCAGACAAAGTCTGGCGTCTGGATCTAGTCATGGTGATCCTGTTCAAAGGCATCCCTTTGGAGAGTACCGATGGCGAACGGCTCATGAAGTCCCCACACTGCACAAACCCAGCACTTTGTGTCCAGCCACACCACATCACAGTATCAGTTAAGGAACTTGACTTGTTTTTGGCATACTACGTGCAGGAGCAAGGTAGGAGCAGATTGTTCTTTCTTCTAACACGGCAAACACTGCCCACCCACCTCCAGATACGGGATGTCTAGCTTGGGCTAGAGTGTCCTGGAGGCCTCCAGATGTCCTCTGCCCTCTCTGGGTCCCTTGATGTGCCCAGCTGTACTCCATGTCCATGGTCATGTAGGAGCCATGAAAATGGACATGGAGTTTTCCTCCCTGGATAGGCTTCTGCATTTGAAGAAAGACCAAAGGACAAACGGACACAGAGTAGTCTAAGAAATACAGTTTGTTGCGCTCCACTCTCTGTACTAGGCTTCATCTCCCCTCGTCTTCTGAAAGTGCAACTTTATTGATGGCAGTCGAAGCGCTGTTTAATAATCTTTGTGCTAGTCTCTTACCTAACGAGGTAGATGAACTTTGTTCAGGAACCTAGTGGTGCTTGTACCAAAACTCACATTAGCGTTGACTATTACAAAATGTCCAAGCTGGCTGCTATCAAAATATATATCTGACAGAGGCCTAGATTTATGTAATTTTAATATTTCTATCAACCGTTCCTTTGGATTTGCAGTATTCACTGTAGATTTAATGCAACGCAGCTCTTATTTAAATAATTTGTAGTACTTTCCCAGAGTGACTTGGGAACACTTTCTATTATTAGTTTACTTGAATGCAAATTCATAATGCTTCCCAAGGAAGAAGTCACAGCTTTCTTTAGAGAGCATCACAGAGCAAACCAGAAAGGGGACTGGTTACACTGGTTTGAAATAAATCTCAAAAGAATGCAGAGGCTGCATGCTGGCCCGTGTTTAAAGTCCGTGATAAAGAGTGCTGTAAATGTTGCCTGGACAGTGCAAAATAGGCAGTGCTGTTGCCAAGGATCTGGGGGTTGATGAGATACGTTTCTTTGTTGTTTCTGTTTTTCTTAAGTCGGTGAGACTTTTGACTTTGTTTTCTTCCAATCGGTATGTCAGGATACAGCCCACATAGGAAAAGTCCCCTTAAGAAAACACCATCCCGAAAGTGGGTTCAAGTTTGGGCTGCCACAGATGGGGGGTCATTTCCGAACTTGGCCTGGTGGGAGGGAAGATGGCTTGCAGATAGCCAGGTGGCAGACAGTTATCCAATGCTCATTATATAAATGTGGGGTTTAATAAATTGCTGTGTACTTTATTGTCATCCAGAAAAGTGAAATAAGAAAATTGCTCTTATGACTCAGAACTCCAGTACTTACTGTGTGCCCTTTGTCTTTATTGCCCCTTGACTTATTTCTGGAGATACACTTGAGTGTCATTTCAACATTTTTTACTTGATTTTTAAATAGCAGTGTTGGAGTGTATTTCCTAACAAACAAAACACCATGTTTGCTGTTTCCCTGTACTAAGAACCCAAATTTAAGTACTGATAGGTAGGGAGAACATATTTTCATCCTTGATGTCCAAAAATAAAAGCTCATCAACACACGACAATTTGGTTGACAGCTGCCTAAGAGTTGACATTTTAAGGTGGGCTGTATGTATGTGTTAGATTGACTGTGTGTTGTAACCATTGTGAAAGCCACTGGTTAGAAGGAAAAGTTTTGCAAAGTGGGTCATGTCACTCTTTAGTCGGGAGGGAAGGTCTGTACCATGTTCCCACTTTAACTCTTGACGGGTAGTCCCTAAGTGGACGTACATGCAGGTTTATCCTGGGGCAGAAAGCCAAATCTCTTCGTTTTGTTGAACTGACAACAGAGATTGTCCTTTGGATCTGGGAAGATAGATTAAAAAATGAAAAAAAAAAGACATGAAACTATATATATATATATATATATATATATATATATATTAGCATGACACACTAGTGGTCATGATTATCATAAAGTTTTGAGCCAAGTCTGTATTTTCAGGTAAAACATTAATTTTGTTGTTTGGTGACTTCCGCAATATAAAAACCTTTCGGTAATTTCCCCGTGCATCTTGTCATCTGTCCCCTCTGCCACCTGCCCTTGCATCATCTCCTCTTAACACCTGGTGGCCCTTCTTAAAAAGTCACATCAGGGTGCTTTTGTGTTTTCTCTTTTTCAGAATTTGTATCTTTTTATTTGTGAACTGCAGATTGATTGTCATTTTACCCAGTAGTTGATTCAAGAAAGTGGGTTTTAAAATCTAAGGCTGTGGATACCCAAAGTGCTTCATCTCACATCCTAACTTTTTATTTTTCCTCTAAGTACATGAAATCATACTTCATTTTAAAAATTAGATAAAGTGGGAAGAAAAGCATGAAAGAAAAATCAAAAGAGAAAAATATTTATGAGAGAATGAGCAACACCATTATTTCCCCCCTTTTCCCTCTCTCCTTCTAAAGGACTGGGAGAGGAAGAACAGAGAGAATGCCAAAGATGGTTGCCACTGGCACCAGGATTGGCACCAGACCCTCTTTGTTTAGCTCAGGATGCCTGTGATTTGTTAGTTGGCATCCGCATTGCAGTGTGGAGTGATGTTACAATATATTGACAATTTCCAGATCTAGAAATGTCAATAGTCCTCTTGGCTATTTGCAGATCACATACTTCGTCTCTAATGGAAGACGAAATAAAGATGGATGGCTAATAAACTTCCTTTGTTGACCAACTTCCCATTGCTTTTCTTTCTCCCTCTTTCTCTCTTGGTTCAACCCACATTTTCCCCCTTCTCCATCCCCAGCAACCTCATCTTTTCTGAAATGTGGAAAGAGTTACTGGAGCTTTGACACGAACTGTAGTGCTACATCTGCATCTGATATAGTTTTTGGGGAGAATTTATATATTTTGAAATCATTTTTGATACGTAGTTTATTAGGCTTTTGTATCACAGGGCAGTATTTTGTTCAAAGCTCAGTGTCTTTGTTACTCAGCCTCTTCCGTGCCTATAGCCTGATGGACCGCAATTCAGTCCATTTTATTCTTTCTTTATATTAGCAAAGGGTAATATTAAATGTAGTTATTTATAAAATTATATGTCCCCCACTTTACCTAAAATTTGGTAAGTGATTTGGGAGTAACTATATTCAAGTCCATAAAATCATCTGATGCGATTGATTCAGAGGGCTGCGCTTCGGCTGTTCCGTTGCTACAAGAACCGCCATTTTGTTTGTGAAGTGCCAGGCGAGGGGGGAAAAAAAAGGCAGACACTGTGTTTGATGCCAATAATGGTTGCCAGTGGCACCGAGGTTGGCATCAGACCCTCTTTGTCTAGCTGCTGAATGCCTCTGATTCGTTGGTTGGCATCCGCATTGCAGTGGGCACACTGGAAAGTTTTTGACAATCCCTGAATGAAAGCTGCTTGCTCGTCTGCTGCAGCAAAGCTGAGCTAATAGAAAACCCTCCCTTTTTTTTTTTTCTTTTTAAGGCTTAAAAAAAGATTGTGACAGATTAAGGAAAAATAGTTCTAAAATGGGCTCCATATTCCCAAAGATATTAAAGATGTCCAAAGATTCTTGGGCAGGTGGTACCTAGTCCCCATATTGTCTTTGTTATTGCATTCATCAAAACAAAACAAAGCAAAACAAAATGGAAACAAGCAAGCCTTGTGCTGGACACCTTCTCAGGACACACCATTCTCAAAGTACAGGGTATGCTATGACAAGTGTGTAGGGACATGCTCAGCGTAGTGGCGTATCCCTGCACCCATTATGACTGGCTGTTGCTTTTGTTTACATCCCTATTTATTCCTTAGACCATTTCTAAGTTCTCTCAGTTTCTACACTGCCTCCTTTTTTAGTAGTTTGTTGAGAGGCCCTTCCTTCCCTCTCCAGTTAGGAATGTATACAATGAACATGTGAAAAACAGAAAACCTTAATGAGGGAACTACATGTTAAAACCAGCCACTCTTGACCTCCTCAGTTCTGCATCAGGATGTTGCCAAATTCTTAGTGCACAATTCCGCACCCTGGGGGAGTGAGTGTGGAGACGGACAGTAACCGAAAGGCTAAAATAATTTTGGTTCAAGTTTCCTAGATAGCACTAATATTGCTTCTCGGTTAACCACCATTATCTCATTAATTAATAAGAAGGATTAGCAGTTCTACCCAAAGGGTAACACAGAAGGAAGTGTGGCCTAAGGGAGGCCTTGAGCTGCCAGACTGTGTCCTGTCTGGAGCCAGGAGATGCAGGGATGCTGGTGGGGGGTGTGTAAGGGGGTGTGGGGTGTGTAAAACAAGGACTGGGCTTTTTGTGAGGCAGGGAGGGGTTTAAAAAAAAGCGAGGTCACAACACAAACCTGAAAGATATGAAGAGATAGTGTCCGATGTTATGAATTTAACAGATGGGAGTTTAAAGCAAGTCAGCCTGAGTGAGTTTTGGACCGTACTTTCCACTCTTAATAGACGTGGTTTTGGAGTATGGCAGAGCTCAGCAGTCTTGCTTCTATCCCGAACAAGTAGCTTCCTCTAGCCTTGTTGAACCCTTAACATTAATTGTGATCCATTGCTGGATGGCAACTTTTGCTGCTCGATTGTTAAACGATATCATAATTGAAGTGTATTTTGAAGTTGTGAAAGATGTGACTTGTTTAGAGGGGAAGTTGTAATCATTATTGTCTTTGAAACAGAACCCTTCCTGCCTGTCACATGGCATTAGTGAGGACGCACATGCAAGGAGCGATTTCCTCCTTCAGCTACTGCAGCTTAGAATCCTTCTGGGTAACAATTATTTCTTTATGAAAAGCTTAAATAGATAATTGTTTGCAAGTTGACAGCACATTTTAACATTTTAATAATTTTCACTTCATTTGCAGGTATTTCCCATTGTGGGGGAAAATAAGCTTTCATAACTTGTTTAAATGAAGCTGCTCTGTGGGGTAATTTGGTGGGCTTTCATTGTGACATCAGAGGGCATGAAGTTTGTGTGGATACCTGTTGGACTTAGGAAATCACTGTTAAACTTTCCCATCCTGGTACCCTGTCCTTGGCTGAACTTCTGAACTCTGGTTTGTTTGCATTCTTCCTCACACACAATTCACAAGATAAAGAAGGGCTCTCATTGGTATGTCTTGCCCCTA